GGTGTTATTTAGAAGTTTTCAAAAACGTTCTAAACAGAGTCACACACATCACATTCCAATCAATCTGAAAAACCATTTCGCCATGCAAAGAACCACTTAAGCATGAAATGGTTCTATACATACTTTAAAAAAAAAATGCTTCTTCAAGGGTTCTTTAGGAAAGATGATGGTTCTATATAGAACCATGAACACTGTACCAATATGTACCAATAGAAGAACGCTTTTTGGTGCTATAAATAATTATTTTCAAAAAAGTTCTGTATAGAACCATATACAACACATTCTCCATCAATCTGAAGAACCACTTCACCCTTCAAAGAACCATTTAAGCATGAAATGGTTCTATACACACTCAAAAAATATGGTCCTTCACAAGTTCTTTAGTAAAAAAAAAAAAAAACTAGAACCCTACGTAGAACCATGAACACTCAAAGAACATTCTGCATGCTTACAGGGTTCTTTGCAAGGTGAAAATTGTTCTACATAGCACCAAAAATGGTTCCTCTCCAGTTACCGTGTCAACCTTTTGCCAACAGAACCCTTTTTGGTGCTACAGTATATAGAACCATTTCCAAAAAGGTTCTACATAGAATCATGTACAACACATTCTCTATCAATCTGAAGAACCATTTCGCCATGCAAAGAACCATTTGAGCATGAAATAGTTCTGTGGACACTCTGAAAAAGACGGTTCTTCAAGGGTACTTTAGTAAAGACAATGGTTTTATATAGAACCATGAACACTCAAAGAACCTTTTGCATGTTTAAGTGGTCTTTGCATGGTGGAGATGCTGCTGAATGTGTTGTATATTTTTTAAAATGGTTCTATGTAGCAGAATAAAATGTTCCTCTGTAGTTACTATATCAAGCTTGTTTCAATACAAGAACCCTTTTTGGTGCTAAATAGAACCAGATACAACACATTCTCCATCAGTCTGAAGATTAATAATTCTTATTCTTATTTAGAATCTCAGAAATATTTCCTGAAAAATGAAAGCCTTGGAATTAAATCAGTCTTGACTGGAAGTTAAATAAATGAAGGTGGTCTATGACTTTTACTGCATGTGAGATCATTTAACAATGACATACATAAGAGCATCATAATTGAACACCAATCTCCAGCAACATAATCAAGCTTTTCAGTTACTTTTGCTATAATTCCACTCACAATGATGCATGTGAGCCCTCTAGTGGTCAGAGCCTGGAGCTGCAGCCTCTAAAGTCTGTAGGGGCTATACAGGGCAGCAGACCACAGAGCTTCGGGTGCTGCATGGCTGCGTTAGAGCTGGAAAGTTAAAATAATGACCTAAAAACAGTGCAGAATTTTACATATTTCTTCTTTTTATCAGCTTTTCTCAGTTTTAAATTCTAAAAATGTTCTTTTTTTCTTCTAAGTTTACAAAATTAAAAATCTCAAGTTTTCACTGTGGTCTCAAACCACTTCGTTTCTACGCTCATTGTTCATTTTATCAGCTCCACTTACTATATAGGTGCACTTTGTAGTTCTACAGTTACAGACTGTAGTCCATCTGTTTCTCTGATACTTTGTTACCCTGTTCTTCAGTGGTCAGGACTATTTGGGTGGTGGGTCATCCTCAACACTGCAGTGACACTGATGTGGTGGTGGTGTGTTAGTGTGTGTTGCGCTGTTGCGAGTGAATCAGACACAGCAGTGCTGCTGGAGTTTTTAAACACTGTGTCCACTCACTGTCCACTCTATTAGACACTCCTACCTTGTCAGTCCACCTTGTAGATGTAAAGTCAGAGACGATAGCTCATCTGCTGCTGCACAGTTTGTGTTGGTCATCCTGTAGACCTTCATCAGTGGTCACAGGACGCTTCATCAATGGACTATTCTCAGTCCAGCAGTGACACTGAAGTGTTTAAAAACTCCAGCAGCACTGCTGTGTCTGATCCACTCAGACCAGCGCAACATACACTAACACACCACCACCATATCAGTGTTACTGCAGTGCTGAGAATGATCCACCACCCAAATAGTACCTGCTCTGTGAGGGTCCATGGGGGTCCTGACCACTGAAGAGCAGGGTAAAAGGGGGCTAACAAAGTATGCAGAGAAACAGATGGACTACGGTCATAATGTTATGCCTGATCGGTGTATATATGATTTTTAGTTGCTGTTATTTACATGTGTGATATGGTTTTGTTCTAAACAAACCAGCTTAGTCTTTAATAGATTAAAACTTACCCACTCCGGAGGTGGTGATGGGAACCAGGGGTCGTCGTGTCTACAGCACAAATATAGCCAATTTTTTTACTATCCAAAACCACCAGTGAACCTACATGTCTTCTGAGTTCTCATACATAACGTTGATGGTAAAATAGCAGAAAATATGAAAATACAAGTTTTCATCTGGGGACTATTTTTCCTCACAACACCCTGCATGTATCTCTACACCACGAAAAGATTAATTGTAAAACAATGTCTCAGACAGCAGGCAGCGTATTCACAACGACTGAACGTGATAACAGTGAGGCATTAAACCCTTCAGACGTCTGGTTCCCATCACCACCACTGTGAACAATTCTGACATAATTCTATGTATAATTCTATGGACAACCACACAAAGTCATGATAATGCTCCAGAATCAAGACGCTCACAAAGACAAAGCTCTTGTTTCAGTACTTTTTATTCACACAGTACATACTGTAGCGAGTAGATAGATTCTGAGGACGTTGCACAGCACTGTGTGTACTACTGATAATCAGTAATGAGTTAAAGTTCTATCATCAACCATATATATAGATATATATATATAAAAATAGTGTTGCTAAAAAAGTATAAATTAGACCTAATGCTTGAACAACTTATACACAAAATCATGAGGGGGCAAATAAAATACCAGTTAAAATGAAATGCAATCTGCTATTTGCAGAAAAAAAAAAAGCAAAACGGTGACTCCATAAATAGGAACGAGTATATTTTTCTGTTTTTAAATATTGCAAATGTGAGTATATTGAAGAAAACTCAAACTATGCTGTACAAGAACATCTGTTGTATTACTTTAACAAACATCTCCCGTTTTATCAAACAGCGGAACGTAGGAACCCGAACATGTATTCTCGAGTATGTAAAACCAGAAACCAGAAAATAAAACTCTTCAGAGTGTACCATTTGCTGATGAACTTTATCAAACTGTCCAAAAGTTGAGTATAGAAAAAGAGGTATGACTGGTGACTCTCTCCGAAGCGAGAGAGCAACATTTCTGAGATACTTGCGCCCTCTTGTGGTTACTTAGAAAAGAAAAAGAAACCAAAAAAACAAAAACACAACCAACCGGAATGGACGTCATTAGGCCTGGAGGTCGTGGAAAAGAGATCTAAGCAATACAGAATTAAAGAACAAAAACAAAATGGAACAAAATAAAAAAAACAAAACAAAAACAAACAGAAAAAGTCTTACACTGTCTGCATGCATATCTTTATAAAAGCTCTACTCTTGGAGACAGGAGTGTACAAGGCATTACAAGACACAAACAGAAATGATAAAAGTCTCGCCACAGCAAGCTGTCGGGAAGGTTTCCTGCTTGAAGGCCATTTCATGAGTCAAGTAAGTTCTTCACTTTTGTTTTTTTTTTTATCTGTTACCCTAAAAACACTACAAAGACCACAATGCATCAGGACATGAGTGACGTAGAAAAATTAAACATCCATTTGGTTTGTAAATATTAAAGTTGACCAAAAAAATGTTACTGAAAATTGCCCTGCTTACAACCTGGGACCTTTTTTTGTCTTTAACAAACAGCAAGACAAAACAATAGTGACTATTAATGAAATCCAGTGCATCAGTTACAGAACAATAGTTGATACTTCCAAACAATAATGTAGCTGCCGTCTATCTGAACAGAATTTATTTATCCTGAATTCAAACAACCAAATAAATCTTTTTCTGTCTCCAATTGTTTGACTTTGAATTTTTTTACCTGAGGAACACCTCAGAATACAGAACGGGAAACAGTCAGGCGTCGTGGATTTACTGTGGTGCCATTACTGAAGAAGCAGAACCATTAGTCGTTTACAGCCCTGACTCAAGCCGTCCTTACAGTGAGACAAGCAACCTCTATTAAAGACCACTCCAGTTAGTAACTAAGGGGCAGATTTATTAACGCCACGAGCCATATTTTGGCATTAAAATGCGACTGACGTGAAAATCAGCACACACTCCTCTACACGCTGCACAATTTCTATTCATTTGCGGAGATTAACAAAAAATAGAATATAAAATATGCAATAACTTTTGAACAGGCAACATTTTATGTTTCACTTTTATACCCCCCAGTATGTTAAATTCAGCAAATAAACAGTATTTGTGCATTAAAATTTGTTCTCTGTGGAGGACGTGTTTACTTACTTTCACTCAGATCAACAAAACAAATAATTTGATCAGGAGCACAAACTCCATATGAACTTATCGGAGGGGATTATTATGAATTACCTACTCAGAGTAAATACTGACTGGATCAGACCGCTATTTAATGCCTGTAAAAAGTTTTCATTTTTCCATTTGATTTTTGGACGCTAACGTGCTGCCATTGTCACTCAAGAGGCCCTGATCCAACAAAATGGGAGCCTGTTTCTAACAGTTGGGGAAAAGTTGTCTGTTGTAATCAATGTTTTGACTTACAAAAACTTTGTTTTTTTTTCCCAAAATAATAACTTCTCAAATCAGTTGTACTATCACGAAGTCAGAATCTTGAAGGGGGAAAATCAGTTTACGAAGTCAAAATATTGAGAAATCAGATCATTATTTTTAGACGAAAATTTTTAACCCAAGTCAAAATTGAAACAGGGCTGAATGATTAATCGTTTTTATATCCAAATTGTCATTTTGAAATTTAATTTTAATCATATCAAACATTACCTGACATTAGTCTTAGAAAGTTTTAAGCTGGGAAATTTAGCCTAATAACATGGAGCTTGTGAACTGGCAGTTAAAAAATAACAGCCCTTTAGCCGCTTGCATGAAATATCTTTTAAAAAAAAAAATAAGTTAAATGCTTACAGAGCAAATTTAAATTTGTAAATTTAAAAAGTGCAGACTCTTACACTTAGCGTCCAAAGTTCATTTTACAATTATAGATTTTTCACTTTCCACCTACACATTTTCCTAAAGAGATTTTACACAGCTCACCCAAGTAAAATTTGACCGAAAATTCTGTAATCTCACCAAAATCGCAATATTGGTCAGAAAAATCGCAATTCAGAATTTTCCCTAAATCAGTCAGCCCTATAGCTGCAAGTTAACCACCCCCCACTAGCACCAACTGCCTGCAGACCGTCAGTAATCAGCTCTTCTTTAGTAGAAAGAAGCCAAATTTGGGATCAAAAGTGGCAAATAAGATCAAAATTTCTATTGAAAAGGCAAAAAATTTGCACACACAAACACAGGGCGTCAATATTAGAGTGAAAAGCAGAGTGTTATTCTAGTTCCTGTTCAGTAATGAAAGCACTGGCAATCAGACTGAACCAATCAGAGAGCCGATCTGGGCTAGATTTCCAAAACGGTTCTAAAATTACGTCATTTACTATATAAATACTCCCTACGATGAAACAATTAGCAATGCACGCAAGCCTTCAGGAAACGTCCCCTGATTGTACGTCTGCTCCCAAACCTAAAAACCACAAAAAATATATAAAAGACATAAATAAATTAACGTCACCAAGGATACATAATCTACAGAGCAGTTTGTTATGCGCTGAGTCTGTGGGTGAAAATGTAACCTTTTAATTGTGAGGGATTAACACATTTAGATAATTGATTCCTCATGCATATGCAAGGCAATCAACGTAATCTCATGAAAATGTAAATTAACCAAAATGTGATACTCGGCATCGCCGCTGGTCTGGACCATTAACATACCGATTTGAAGAGGTTATAGATTAAAAACTAATCAGTCAAACGAGTGGAACTGAGCAGCCAAGCAGGTGCTCAGAGTTGAGAACAATGAACTAAAGTAAAAAAAGAGGTATTTTCTGCTTCTAAAATCAATCAACAGCAATTCGAAAGACTTAAAAAAGATCGTTTTCAACTAAGGCAAAGTATGTCCAACGTCCATTTGGTGGAGGGGGGGGCGGGGGAGGAAATGTAATTCAGGTAGGAGGTATAAGAGGTAAGAGGACAGCTGGGGCACTGGAAATTAAAAGCAGGGGAAATAGAAAAAGCAATGAAACATACAGTGTGTCCATGTTTTGGTTTGAAGTAGACGATTCAAGCATTGACAAACGTTCATATCCATGTTTTCGGGCATAGCTTCTTTTTGTTTTGTTTTTTTTTGTCTCATGGCCAGTGGTAAGTTGAGGTTTGAGGTGTATGTAGGCTATATCTCTGCTGGACGAAGTATTGCTCCGTAGCAGACGTCCATGAAAAGAACCCTCCCTTAACGGTGCCTCGTTCATGGACAGAGATCCAGAAACAGGTTTTTGCTCCAGAATAAGCGTTCTAACTACGACATGACAAAAAGCTACAAAGTGATCCTAGAGCAGCGTCTAGATCCACTAGTGTCTCTTTTGTGAACAGTCTATAGAGCCATTGGCTGGTGGCCTTGCACCACCTCAAGCAAAATTGCACTTGAGGAAGACAAGTTTGTTCATCTCCTCGGCAGTGACCTGTCGCTTCTTCTTCATCGCTAAGGTCTGCTCGCAGATGCTGACACATTCGCTGCGGACGCCCACCGCGGGCACTGCCAGTAGCCACAGTGCCAAGCGGGACAACTTGGGGTATCTGTCCATGACTGAGCTCCAGTACTGGAACAGATCACCTGTAGCATGGAAGAGCGGTTCGCCCAGGTACTGGAACAACTCCTTCCGGACTTGCGGCTCCTCGGCTGCACAGGATGACCTGTCCACCCCGCAGTCCATACGGCTGCGCTTTGGACCTGCTGGCCCTTCACCATCCCTCTCATCTCCGGTGATCCCGGACGAGCCCCCACTTCCAGGTTCCCTCATGCTGGCGGCCATGTCGCACGCCCTGGTGATAATCTCCTCGTGCTGATACCCGGGGACAGGTCGCAGCTTGAGCTGTGGGTCCAAGATCATCGCCACTTGATGGACTCTCTCCACCTTGAAGTTCTCCTTTAGTGCTTCCAGAAAGTAGTGACAGAGCTTGCTACCTGCACCTGCTTCTCCAGCCTTGGAAGTGAACAGCTTCTCCAGGCGAATGTAGACGGGCAGTACTTGCTGGAGCGTGGGCCAACGGTCGGCTCCGAGCTCCTGAGCTGCCTGGCGCAATGGTGCTAGCAAGCACGCTAGTGTGCCAAGGAGGTGTTTGTTGAGGCCCTGCAGGAGAGGTGCCGTGCTCTTGCAGCGGCCATACGCTTCACATATTGCCTCAAAGTTCTCGTGGACCTTGAGCAGCGCCTCAGCAGTTGAATCCCAGCACGGCGGTGGCGGAGCCTCATCCGTGGTTTTGCTCTCACGGCTAAAGCTCGTTGTTCCAGCGATGTCGCGGCACGTGGCCAAAAGTTCTCCCAGTTCATGGAGGCCCCTGGCCTGAAGACTACGTCGGCCGAGAACGGCCTGAACAGTGGCTGCCAGCGAGCACCCTGCGCACCGCAAGCTAAGACCGGAACGGCCGCAAAAAGATAACAGTGACAAACGCGGTTCTGTGACGTAGACTGTGCGAATCTCGGACATAACGAACTCTGAGAGGACATTCTGGACCCAGTGGTGTACATGTTCAGGACCTTCTCTTATAGAGGCTTCCTTGAGTCCCAGCACGTAGCGTCGAAGCCGGACCCCTTCGACCTGATACGCGGTAAGCACATAACAGGAGTCCGGTCCTATAGTCTGAGAATGGCAAGTCACGGCAATGCCTAAAGAAGAGTTTGACCCCAGGGCACACGTGACTTTTACTTTGACCTGGTTGTACATGCGAGGAAGCTGCTTTAGGGCCAAGGAGCTCATGTCTCCGAGGGCATCACGAATGGAGTAGGCTCCATGGCGGGAGCCCGTGTCCACCAAAGTCTGGGCCAACTTGAGGAAGTCTTTACTGCTGAGAGCACCGAGGAGACCCAGGTCTGTACACATCATGCGCAGCAAGCGCTCAGCCACCTGCTGCCGCTCCTTCTCTGGCAGCAATCTGTTCTCTGCAAATGAAAAATGATAGAGAAACAGAATCAGGTGTGTTGACAAACGTTTTATCTTTCAGTGGAAGTTTAAACAGAAAAAGGCAAAATGATAGTAAAAGTTCACACAATCTGACTCTTTCATTTTTGAATTGGGCCACTCATATAATCGCTATTTCAGGGAGGATCACGCACCAGTGACATGCCCCAACACACAAATCTGATCTACCTGCGGTGTTCCAGATCTAGATTTAGAACAATGATTATGAGCTAAGCGAGCAGATGTTTAGGAAACTGTTGCTAAGTGCTGATGTCTAGGAAAATAAACATTATTAAATAAACAGAGCTACATTTGTTTTTTCGCAGAATCTGGTAAAAAATCCTTATCAAATGGTGTGGTTAGACCTTCCTAGTTCTCTCCTGAGCTGCAGGAAAACAGTCAAGTGATAACACTTCAGTCCAACATACAGTGGGGTCCAAAAGTCTGAGACCACTCAGAAAGTGTAGGATTTTCATTTAATCAAATTTAAACAAAAAGTTTTAGCGTTTAAAAAAATTAAAACAAAGAAAATGCTAAAACAAGTAAAAGGAAGAAAAATATTTAAGATTCTGCACCGTTTTTAGTCGCAACTTTTCAAATTAAAGCAAATTTGTGACACTGACCATGTTAAGGGCTTTGAACAAAAAAGGTCAGATTTAAAATTTTTTTTTATTTATTTATTTATTATTTTTTTAGACCTACACCTTCCATTCAAGCTCTTGTTCAGACAACTTTCAAGTGCACTTGATCTACTCAGAGACTCTTGTTACTGGTAGTGATCAGCTCGAGCGCACAGTCCTTAATGTAATGCGGGGGAAAAAACTTTCTGAAATTCATGTTACAATTTCAAAGATTTTCCTTTGTTTATTCAGATTATCTTGATAATACAATTTGTTATGAAAATCTTTGTTTAAAAAAAAAAAAATGGAAGCATTAGTGCACTAATGAGCTCTTTTGACCCCTGAAATATTTGTGGCCATTTTTAGATTAAGGCTGGACAATATTTGGCAGCATAGCTAGTCCCAAGGTCACCTTTCATTTTTTGGACTGGATAGTTCAGTCCAATCTTGAAACAGCCAATAAAGAGAGCACATTTGTGTTAAACCCAAGCCAAAATTCAAAAAACAATCCAAGGAATTTATATATAATACCATAATTTTCCGTAAGATTCTAACTGGAATCGAAATTAAACAAATCAGTCATCATACTTGCCTATTCACCACTCAAACCCTGACTGGACCTAATGACTGGTTATTTCAGTGCAGTTTTACTAGCATCAAACAATTAATTTAAAAGGTGAATTAAGCTAAAACTGTGACGGAAGGCAAGAACAGCCCTTGTCGGCACCAGTGGGACCCGAATATAACAAATTCCTGAGAAAAGTATGTAAAGTTTTGTATTTTCAAGTCATTAACATTTTGGGAAACTATGCACATGGTTCTCTGACTGACCTAAAGTATTTAAAAACGTTATAAAACGCTCTGTAAAGATGGCGACTCCTGCAGAGTTACATGTATGCCATAGCCATTAAAATTCCTGAAAATGTTTCCTGCAGATAATGCATGCACCAGATTCATTTAGCCTCCCTGGTCCAATCACTAATAACTGCAGCAAAGACTCCACTAGATGTAGAGCATACTTAAAGTGTACTATTTGCAAGAAAGATGTCAGTTTGGATGTAGTGGAAAGGCAGATGTGGACTCAGTAGGGGGCAGTGACAGTGGAAGAGGAGGGATACACTCAGTCTAGGAGGCATGGTCAACAAGCAGGGAAGATACCATTAGGGTACAGGAAGGCTACAGTATACCCATAATAAAGTGAGGAAAGTGGTGCAGTGGAGCGTGGGGCTAAACCGGGATGGAGGAGATATACTGATTTTGAAAATACACTGATCAGACATAACATTATGACCTTGTTTCTACACTCATTGTCCATTTTATCAGCTCCACTTACTATATAGGTGCACTTTGTAGTTCTACAGTTACAGACTGTAGTCCATCTGTTTCTCTGCATACTTTGTTAGCCCCCTTTTACCCTGTTCTTCAGTGGTCAGGACCCCCATGGACCCTCACAGAGCAGGTACTATTTGGGTGGTGGGTCATTCTCAGCACTGCAGTAACACTGATGTGGTGGTGGTGTGTTAGTGTGTGTTGTGCTGGTATGAGTGGATCAGACTCAGCAGTGCTGCTGGAGTTTTTAAACACGGTGTCCACTCTCTGTCCACTCTATTGGACACTCCTACCTTGTCAGTCCACCTTTTAGATGTAAAGTCAGAGACGATAGCTCATCTGCTGCTGCACAGTTTGTGTTGGTCATCCTCCAGTCCTTCATCAGCGGTCACAGGACGCTGTTGGCTGGATATTTTTGGTTGGTGGACTATTCTCAGTCCAGCAGTGACATTGAGGTGTTTAAAAACTCCAGCAGCACTGCTGTGTCTGATCCACTCAGACCAGCGCAACACACACTAACACACCACCACCATGTCAGTGTTACTGCAGTGCTGAGAATGAAACTTATGAATTGTAAACTTATGAAGTGCTCGTATTACAGGTGTTTCTGATATAAATGGTCAGTGAGTGCAGTTTTCACATGTACCAAAAACAGGTTAGTGTATACAAGGTCAACTTAAGTAGAGCAAAGGGACGTAGACCAGGGTCCAAAAGTGTGGGCGCATGAGTGAAAATGCTTTTATTTTGCATTCTTTTCTAATTTCAAAACTAATTTTTTATTAAATAATATCATTAGCGTAACAATTTGACTGAAAAGTAGAATCTTTTTTGAGTCGACGGTCACTGAGTGAAAAGTAGCCGCTATAAACTCCACAAGTTTGTGTGAGAGCTTCTGATGAGCAGATCAAATCCACCTGGGAGTCCTCTGTACTCGTGCTTCAATGTACTACACGGTTTTTTTTCCAAAAGCATGACTAACATTTTTTTTTTTGTTTTTTTTTAACTGAACATGCAGCATTTCTCCAAAGAGAATGTTGAAACACAAGCATCTGATTTTGTGACTCATGTTATGCTAAGTTTGCCCTTGTGGTGCTCCATACCACAATACATTAAATCCAACTGAACAAGACGTATTATGCTCTATTCGTAATGAAACACAGTTATTTAGTGTTATGGAATTACTGACAATATCAACAGTATTTTCGGAAAAATACACTGTGAAATATTAGGATGTAATTTATGTAAATCACGATTAGTATTGTCATATTGTCCAGTGCCGCATTCAAAAACATTCACACAGTGCTGCTCTAAATTAAATCGGACTAATTTTGTTTTCTTTTACAAAAATACGCACTTGGTCAGAGTTCAGTACTGATATCTACGATAAGAGAAGCACATATGACGATCATAAAATATCGTATTACCCACCTCTTCACAACAATACAAAAAAGTATTTGGACACCTGACCATTACACCTTTATGAGCTTGCTGGACATCCCGCTTTAAACCTGTGAGCATTAATACAGGATTAACCCCCCTTCTTTCCTAGCCTTCTAGGAAGGCTTTTTACAAGATTTTGGAGTGTGTCTGAGGGAATTTGCTCTTTCAGTCTAAAGAGCATTTATGAGATCAGCCACTGATGTTGGACGAGGAGGCCTGGCTCGCAATCAGCGTTTCAGTTCGTTCCAAAGGTGTTCAGTGGGGTTGAGGTCAGGGCTCTGTGCAGGACACTGGAGTTCTTTCGCAGCAAACTCACCCGAGCATGTCTTTATGGAGCTCACTTTGTGCACAGCGGTACAGTCATGCTGGAACAGGATGCTCTAATTTCACAACAACAGCGCTTACAGTTGACTGGGGCAGATCTAGCAGGGCAGAAATTTCATAAACTGACTTGTGGCAGAGGCGGCGTCCTACGACGGAGACACATTTAAAGGCACGGAGCTCTTCAGTACGACCCATTCTTGTCTATGCAGATTGCATGGCTGTGTGTTTAGTTTTACACACTTCTTAGCAGGTGAGGTTCGAAAAACCTGAACTCATACTTCAGGCTTTGTTCATACAGCAGGTAAAAGTGGCCCAAATCCGATCTTTTTCTTCATATGTGACACAGCTGTGTGTCTGTGTGGCAGTGTGAACAGATAAACATACTGAATCTGACATTTTGGCCCAGTCCCATTTCTTCTTTTTACCCCTACCCCTTGTTTTCGAGTGTCGCCCTAAGCCCTTGGAACTGAGTTAGAAGGGGTAGTGGTTAAAAACTTAAGACCTATGAAATGGGACAACCCTCAAAAAAAAAAACCATCGCTTCCTTAACAACCTACTAGCGACCCAGCCCGTCTTCAGTGATAGCAGAGAAGGGAAAGTTCAGTAACCTCGCTGCTGGGCTTCAGTTACATTTAGGGCATCATACGCCTTCAAAGAGGGGGATAAAACAATTATTTATCATCACCCACTCCAATTATTTGGTTATACGAAGTTGAAGTCAGATATTCGCTAGCTTCTTTTTCGAATTTTCCCGTTCCACCTTAAATGGTGCAGCAGTTACATTCTGGTGCTCCTGGCGTCAATACTGCCGGACTATTTAAGGTGGAATGGGAAAGTTAGCTAGCTACTGAGAAATTAGCATGCTATTAGCGATTGTTTTGTGCTTGTTATGAAGAAAACCACCATAATACACTGAAACGACATTAAACGAAAGATAATAGAAAAGTTATCGTATTTTTTTTAACGGAGAAAAGTCTCACATTTGTGGGTTTCTTTGATCGCTCGCGCAGCCATCTTGCTGGTTATTCTTTTTTCTCATAACACTCCGTTTAGAGTGAGCCTCTGAAAAATCTCAGTTTGGAGGGCCACGTAGCCCCAACACTTCGCCCTGCCCCTCTATCTCAACTAAAATTGGGACACCCTTACCCTAGACATGAACGCGCAAAACAGAGGGCTAAGGGCTAAGTGGTAGGGGCGAGGGGTGAAATGGGACTGGGCCTTTAATTCTGACTTGAGACACTTTCATATGTGGGACTGAACTCCGATACATATTCTACATGCGGCAAACGCTCAGTGTTCGGAGAGATTTTGAAAGAAATGGCCGAATGCGGCCGCAGGAGAACGAGGCTGCAGCGTCAAAGAAAAGTCTGAAAGCAACGGTTAAAGAATCCGAGGACGCAAACCAAAGAAGTGACCGCGCCCTTTTTACAGCGAGCTCGAACACATTCTGGGTGATGAGCCCAGCTGTCAGTCAGTGAAGCTTCATGATGGCTCCTGTGAGGCTGGTGAAGATGAAGCTAAACCCTCTGGGAGTGACTGGCGTTCGTTGGCAGTCGTGACTGTTTACCTCTGGATGAGCCGCGTGAAGCATTGTTCTTTTGCGCATGTAGGTCAGTTTAGGAGCTGATCTGTTCAGACTGGTGTCGCATACAGATCACATTTAAAATATATTGCGAACAGCCAAACAAAAAAAAAAAATTGGATTTGGCGAGTAAATCAGATTTGGGCCACTTTTACCTGCTGTGTGAACGTGGCCTAAGAAAAGACTCCACGTATTTTCAGTCATTAAATGCATTCTTGAATTTGTAAACATGGGACAAAATATAGGTTGGCTGTCAATATACAGCCTATTTGCAGGAAACACTGGGTCTCAGACTTCTCAGACACCCCTGTTGCTGGAGAGGGGGGTAAAGTGTGTGGAAACTGGAAAGTTGTCACTGACCATACAGAATGAGGAAGCACAGGCCGAGGAAGTAGAATGCGGTTCAATGACGGACAGACTTGGACATATATGGGCTATACATACAACGGCGGGTGAGGGAGACGGTGACTGAGCACAAAGCATGCACTCACGGTAGGAAGGCATGTGGTTCCTCTGTGCAGGCTGAGGGGATTTCCAGGTCTGCTCCTGAGGCGCTATGGGGGCTTGGCAGGGTTTAGCAGAGTCCTCCTTAGTGTGATTCTCATTATCCGCTGAAAGAAGACAAAACGTTTCACATCATTAAACCTGCTGTACACCTTCTAATTTCACAGCTAACAGAAAAAAACAGTCCATGCTAAAAACCTCACATACAGGACCACATACAGTCGCATGCAAAAGTTTAGGCGCCCCTGGTCGAATGACCTGTTTTGTTGGTTTTCTAAGTAAAAATTTAACCCATACTCTATAGACAACACAGTTTTGCAGATTTTAATTCAGCAATTGTGTATTTGTATTCAATATTTTGAGGAAAAAAAAAAAATGTGGCCTATGCAAAAGTTTTGCACCTTTTTACATGTTTTTCCAATATGTTAAACTCACCAAACAAAGACAAACTGTATATTAAATACTTTTATTTAAGTATATATTTATTTTTAAGGTAAATTTTATGTCGAAGTTTGTTCCATGTAAAGGTTGTGGTAACCTTGTGTGAAAAGAGATTCAGAAAAATCAACAAAACCTTAAAACCAAAATTTACACGGTGTCCAAACTCTTGCATACGACTGTGTGTCCAGATTCCTCAAGTGACCCGAATGAAGAGACCCTCTAAGGTAGATGAACATGCAGAAATGGTAAACTCAACAATGACTGACAGGAGTTCACACTGCCCATGACGTGCCATGCACCGTCCGTTAACGCATTAGGAAATTCCTTTAGACAAATGTCATCTGAGTGGAATGGACGTTAATGACATTCCATGTTCGTGAGATGGCAGTCGTTACACACTCGGTACGCATGCTTCTAAACAAGGTATTATTCTGGATCAGTCTTGCTTTATACCGAGTAACTACAAAAGTCCATAAAGAAAAGAAAAAGGAAAAAAACAAAAAAACAAAACAAAAAAAAAGCTATAATCTTGATCCCGGCTCAGCCCGTTAAGGTACTTAGTGACGGCAGGTCCGGGCGTGGGTGACTCACCGGCATGAGACTGCATGTGCTCCATGAGGTTGCTGTAGAACTGGAACTGAATGCCACAGGATCCACACGTGTAGGCTTCTAGAAGACAAGGCCCACGGTCTCGCTCTTAGAACACAGTGATGCTAATGCTAGCATGCTAACACAGACTAAGGCACTGCCTGCTGCTACAAAAAGTAGGTCACTATCAGGACAGAAGGCTGCTCGTGCTGGCTTCTGGAGAGAGATGGCAGGAGCCGTGCAATGAAACACTAGCGATGAGAATGACGGGGATATAAAATTATCGGCATGCTGATGAGAAAAAAAAGGGGCCCATGCTGATGGGGAAAAAGATGAAGGAGAAAAAAGAAAGGAAAGAAAAAAAAAAAAAGATAATGATGACTGGACTTAAATCACTAAACGCATACTTACTCTGTGATGTGGGGAAGGAGGTGGGCATCATGGGGCTTGTAGTATCTGCAGGTTAAATAAGGACAAAGTTGTGAGGAAACGTTTGTAAACCCTTTGGAATTATGCAGATTTCTGAATTATCTGGATTATCTGGATTGCTCCTAAAATGTGATCTGACCTTTACTTAAGTAAATAAGCACATTTATTATGAGTGCAAGTACAAAAAAAAGGAGCATTTACATTAATAAATTAAGGCAATTTTTTTTTTTGAAGAGGCTGTCAAAGTAATTTCAACTTATTTCAGAGGAAACAAACGCAGCGCAACTGGACCCAAATCTGAGCAGACATGGTAAAAAAAGGGGAAAACACTGTATTTTAGTGAGCCGCTCCATCCAGGCCTGATTGAGTCACATAATGCACCCGATTCAAATGTGTACCTCATTTCCACATGAATAAAATACATTACATCAACACAATCCTGTCCTTTGGCTTATATGGTTTATTCATGTGGAAATGATGTACAGATTTGAATCGAGTACATTCAGTGCATTACCTTTACTTTTCTCCATTATAATGCCTTAAAATGCAGAAAGTTAAACAGGATGTGGACATGCGTCAAAGGTTTCAGGATGTGCTGTGCATAGACTATGAGCAATAACTCATCTCACCGCCTTATTAAAATAATACAGCATGCTATATCTGCCGCTCTAAAGAGGACGACAGAAACCCTCATCCAACAAACGAGCAAATGGCATACGATCAATCTGACTCCCATCACTCCAGCTATGAGTACAACATTTCTATTAATGCAAGACTGCAAATGAGAAAGACACTGGAAACCAAACTATGCCAGGGGTACGTCAAAACAATGGCCTGTTTTCTCAAAATTTGAACTTATTATCTTTATAAATTGCATTTATGTCAAAAATAATGGCTTATTTTCTCATAATATTGACTCACCATCTCGAGGTATTGTTCAAAATATTTCATGAGATATTGCACTTATGTCAAAGCAAAGTCCTGTTTAGTGTGATTATCATTAACCGTGTAGTTTTTAATGCCTTAATTTCTCAAAACAGGGACTTAAGATCAATATATTTCTCTTAGGTTAAAATAACGGCAAATTTGATCAGAATTTGACATTAAGACATATTTGAAAATAATTCTAAAATGGTTATTTTCCTCAAAATATGGACTTATAATAATAAGACATTACTCCTAATATGTCAAAACAAAACATTTTCTAATAATAATATTTTACTTGTTATTAAGGTATTGCACTTATAATGTCAAAATAAAGGCTTATTTTCCCAAATAATGCAATTGTGATCAAAATACTGGTCTTATTATGTCAAAATAAAGATAAGATTTTGACTTACTTAGACATTGCACTTGGTAAGTCAAAATAATACCAAAATAATGGCTTATTTTCTCATAATTTTGACAAGATTTTGACATATTGACAAAATAATGTGTTAAATCTCATTAAAAAGAGAAAAAGTCATTATTTCTAGATAATAAAATAATATTATGAGAAAATAAGTCATTATTTTGTGCTAAAACATTTGACATAAAGCAGCCAGAAACAGAAAAAAGCTACAGATGATTCCTTTTTGTATTTCTCTTTAATTTGATTTCTAATTGCTTTAGACTTAAATAAGCTCAAGTTTGATTTACTTTTTTATATAAATGCTGCGACCAAACAGCAACATTAACAGAAGAAAATCTCAACTTTAATTTCCTCTGTTAACCTTTCTCACCTGCCTGTAAAGCGGTAAAGCACTCCGAGCTGCCACCGCTCTGAAAAGTGCTCTATAAATAAAGTTATTATTATGGTAATTATTATTTTCTTCTCTATCTGGTGGAAATGGGCTTCTACACAGGACAGAATTAGCCCAAGTCCTCAGACGAACTACTCCCTTACCAAACCGTCTAGCGTGCCAAGATAATTCCAGCCACAGGGCTGGACTTTTAATCTCTATGGTCAGCTCTGTAGGAAGGATAACGTGACCACCAATGAAAGAATGAAAACTTACTTAGAAAAAAATTGCAAAAAACTAAATAAATCTCCACCACATTAAATCCGAAAGCGAGCTGCATGTGTGTGTCTGCTGGAGGCTCGGAGGAAAAACCCCGTTCTCCAGCATTTCAACATAACCAAAGTTACAACGTTTCTGAAATTCCTAAAATTCTCAACGTTTCTCAACTCTCAGCAATGTGACTTACCGCTCGAGCTTTGGGAATTGTTGCCGTCTCTGAGGCTTGACTTCCCTGACATTTTGCCCTCCAATTTTAAAGCGTATGAGCTTTCTGCAAAAAACAGAAACAGAAAAGCTTAACCAAGCAGACACGTAGCTTTTTATCACTCTGGCACGATAAAAGCCGTCTGCAATTCCAATGTCAAGGTCAAGGTCAAGTGAGAGACCTTACTTGGCTGCAACATTAAACATTAGTTTCAAAAACTGATATTCTCTATTCTGTATGGATTTTTGGGAATACTTCATTCTATTTTTCTACTGTGGAGGAGAGAGCCGAGCACAACCCACACATTCTGTTTAAATAATCATTTTAAAAGTATCTGAGCAGGATCATTTTTTTGTTAATATAAACAACCTGAACATGCCCACAAATGAAAATGTAAACTCCTTTCCAGCATCTTCCATCTGTAAACAATTCAACTAAACGCAACGTAAATGGAGATGTGATAAAGTATCCCAAAGTTGGGCTAATTGTAGCAGGCCAGAACTGATTTTTGGTAAACTGATGCATAATTATTTCAGTTTTTATCTTGTTTGAACCAGCAAAGTTTTTTGGCAAATAAATACGCTAAATTATTATTTTTTTTATTTGAAAAGAGAAAAATAAGTGAAAAATAAGCTGATACAAATTATTTCTAACCAAAAGCATGACAAAACAAATATACTCTTTACATTATATCTTAAGACCACCATAAAAATACATTTATTTAAAAAAAAACAATATTCTTTATAAAAGAACCTACACAGTAAAATCTCAAGCAGTAATGCGGATATATGCGGACTACACTGTGCTTCGAAGTACTGTGCAAAAGTCAGAGACCACCCTTCATTTTTCTAATTTCCTGTCCAAACTGCCATTACGTACAAGTGAAGAATCTGCTTGCAAAAAAATGCTAAACGCCATCCTTAAAAATAAATAAATAAATTAAAAAAGTTAGTCTTTGCACATTGAACGCTGAATACTTCTCGTCACGTCTCGTTTTAAGCAGAAACAGTCAAACATCACGGCTGCTCTCCAGCAGAACCCAATAAATCCGTTCAGCCAATCAAGGCGCAGTATTCGGGTCAGGTGATGCAACACTGCTGCTGTTTTAGGCAGAATCTCAAACGGATCCCTTCGCCCTACAAAGTGCAGCACGCAGGTCTTAAAATAACGGCTACTGTATCTAAACAGAGCTCAGTGAGTCTAACAGAGAACCACTCTGGACTCGGTCATGTGAGCACAATTCACACTGGACATATTTGGGTGTTACCCTGAATTTACACCGGCAGCGGCGCGACAAAACGGCCAGAGGTCATTCATTTTCAATGAGAGCTGGCGATTTCCGGCGACAGGAGGCGGCGCTAACACTGGCGACGCGAAGTGGGTGGAGTCAGTGACGCAACAAAGTTTAGCGGAGTTTACTTTACGCAAATAAGGAGTGAAGCGATGTGGCGACTACCAATAGGAATTGAGCATTGAGCAGCGTAGTACGCGCTTTATCTCCACCACTGAGAAACATTAGGCTCCGCTTTTGGTTCCTAGATAACTGATCCTACTACAGGTGGAATAATGGCAAATAGACGATAATCGCAAAGACCAAATGGCGTTTTCCTCACAAACTGCCTGCACAGATACAGGGAATAAATAAAAATAAGCTCACATTTCTCACCTGCACTTTTATTTTTATCAGGAATGCATCTGATTTATGCTTGGCGTCAGTGAAACCATGGCAACCAACGGTCCGCTCGAGCTCTGAAACGCCCACAGGCGATGAGCGACCAGCGTTTTGGGCGACAAGAGGCGAGAAGTCACTGCCGTTGTGAATGCAGGGTTAAAGACAGTTGCATAAGTCACTTAGTGCACTATATAGTGAGCAGTGAGGAGTTTGCGATTCAGCCTTATAGATCTTACAGATGTTTAATATTGATGTTAAAGGGCTGTTTTGGTTGCAATTTTCAGCACTTTATCTGCTTGTATTATGCTAACGAACGTTAAATATTACACTTGTATCCATTACATGGCTTGTTTAACATGAAATCACCACTGGAGTCATCTGCTTTGGCCAAATACTAACTTTTGTTGAGTTATTTTTACTTAATCAAAACAACCCAACTGCAGTTTGTTGTTACCTGGAATGCACAAAAAAATATGATTTATGAAAATTCATTAAAATGGAGATGTATATTTAGGCTTATAGGAGACATTTCTAAGGACATGAGATAGAAGATGTGTGCACTTACATAAATAAGGAGATGATCACAGAAAAATAAAGAAAAAATATCAGTTTACAAAAACTGATTAAAGCTACAGAGAAAATGGGACTCCTAACAACCACCTGGACGACCTGGTCGACACCAAAACTGCCCCCATCAGATAAACAGCACTCAAAGCTCTCATCTCTGAGAGAGAGGAGAAAATCAAGCTGCTTCAGATCTGAAAACATCCACAGGTGTTTCTGTCCATCCTTCCACTGTGAGAAGACGACTCAGCGCTGTGGGTCTGAAAGGATGTGTAGCTGATCAAGAAGAACCTCACTGAGAAAACTAGACGGACACATCAAACAAAGAAGCTGAACAATGGACTGACCACCCCAGAGTCCAGGCCTCAACACCACTGAATGTGTTTGGGCTTATTTGGATTGTAAGAAGCAGAAAGCGCAACCAACTTCTAAGGCTACATTCACATTACAAGCCTCATTGCTCAAATCCGATCTGTCTGACATGATGGTTCACACTCGTGGTGCGAGACGAAGGAGAAAAAGGTGAGATGTGTTGCTTTTCCACCGTTTACAGGTTTTAACGTCAGTTCGGTGCTGCTGCCATGGTAACGCTGAATGATGGCGCACGCGCAGTGGGGAAAAAAGCACATGAATTCAGACCTGAGCTTCACATCAAGGTCGCATCGCCACGAATCGGATACGTATCCGATCTAGGACCACATATGAAAGTGGCTCAGGTCGGATTTGAAAAGATCAGATTTGTGTCCACACAGCCCTGAAAACATCAGATCTGAGTCACGTTAGGGCAAAAAAAAATCAGATTTGGGCCACTTCAGCCTGGTAATGTGAACGTAGCCCAAGACTGGCACTGATGAATGATTAGCTTGCACTTAATGGTTGTTTTGAGTGGAAATTCAATAAATGAAGTGTGGATTGACTTTTGCACAGTACAGTACATTTCACTGCACTCAACACTGGCCTCAGATCAACTAGCAAGGTTTTCAAAACACATTTTCAAAGCATGTGATATAACACAAACACATATGATAGACCATAAAAGCTTTCTGCCTACAGCACAACATCCCAACATCCGTCATCCACATACTGCACCTCTTTCCACTCAGCTGTTGCCAACATGTACAGGATTCCAGTTACTACTTTAAACATACATCTGTAATTCAAAGCTAATCGGAATTAGAGTCCTTCAGTAACAATGCAATCTCTCTGACCCACTTCTATGAACGCTCTGTACTTTAAATAGCTCTCCATGTCAGACTCCCTGGCTAAAGTCTTTTGTGAAAGAGTAGGAGATAAATGAGGGAGAGACAGAAGAGGAGACAAAAAAAGGGAGGGAATGTACATTTGGGACTGAGTTTATGAAAGCCACGTTTAAAGGGGAGCTCCATCGATTTCCACATTTCAGCAAAATTAACTGGTTTAGATGTAAACAAAGTCATTCACAGTGGTTTGGTGTGAAATGCTGCGCTCTAGAGAAACTTGTTGAGTCCGAATCGTTCACGGTGGTGGTGATGGGAACCAGACGTCTGAAGAGTTTACTGAACTCTAAAAGCTCCTAAAAGAGTTTTATGCCTGTTTTAAGTTGCGCTTGTGGCTTGAACATATTTTTAAAGCCATTCATGGTGGAAAAGTACATAACAGGGAACTGTAAGGCAAAGAAAATGTGTCTGTTTCAGATTTAGCATTATTTAGCTTTTATCAATATTACTTATAAAAACAGGAGACTCAAATAGATTCACCGCTTATTGCAGAGAGTGAACCCGAAGTGGGAAGCCACCGCTAGGAAATCTCAGGTGGCTGCTCAGGGGTTACTTGGACATTGCTTAGTTATCCCAGGTGGGTGCTAAGGTGTTGCTAGGGCACTGTCATGGTATATCAAGTGGTTGCTAAGGTTTTGCTAGGGCATTGCTATTGTATCCCAGATCTAAGGAGTTGCTAGGGCTTTGCTTTGTTATCCCTGGTGGGTGCTAAGTAGGTTGCTAGGGAATTGCTATGGTATCTCATGTGGTTACTAAGTTGGTTGCTAGGGCATTGCTTTGTTATCCCAGGCGGATGCTAAGTAGGTTGCCAGGGCATTGCTATGGAATCCCAAATGGTTGCTAAGGAGTTGTTAGGGCATTGTTACAGCATCCCAGATGGTTGCTAGGGTGTTGCTAGGGCATTGCTATGGTATCCCAGGTGGTTGCTCAGGTGTTACTTGGACATTGCTGCGTTATCCCAGATGGTTGCTAGGGTGTTGCTGAGCATTGCTATGGCATCCCAGGTGGCTGCTCAGTGTTGCTAGGGCACTGCTATGGCATCCCAGGTAGTTGCTAAGGGGTTGCTAGGGCACTGCTATGGTATTGAAAGTGGTTGCTAAGGTGTTGCTAGGGCATTGCTATGGCATCCCAGGTGGTTGCTAAGGTGTGGGTACATACAAAGTACATTAGTTCTTTATAGGCTCTACAATCCAGCAAAGTGTCGTGGTTTCTCTAGAAAGTCTGTAATTTTTTCACATCAAACACTCTGAATGACTTTGTTTACATCACAATAAATGATTTACGCAGAAACTTTGAAAAACTGGTGCATGTCCCCTTCCAATCCTTTAAAGAGACTGGAGAAAGGGGCAAAGTGTCCATTTTGAGGTTTGATTCACACAGGGCTGGTTTCACAGACGTACATTAAGCCTAGTCTTGGACTAAACTGCAGCGTCAAAGGTCAGTGACTACTGGACATTATTTTAGACCAGGGTTTCATCTCGGTCTGTGAAAACGGCTCCGAGGTTTGACCCTTAGGTATCAGTTTAGTATTAGTTGCTCTTAGATCAAATATAAACGTTATTTATAATGTAACTAAGCAAGTAATTAATCATGTAACTGTGTAATTACACTGAAATAGTACAATAAGAGAGTAATAACGCTTGACTTAAGAGTTAACCTTTTAAACTCCTTGAGACCACCGGTGGCTCCAAAACGCACTTCGTCATATTCTTCACAACTTTCATATTTCATAAGCTACATTCTAAAGGTGGGTGTCGTATGAGAGCTGTAACTGTCTTCTCTCCAGTCTAATAGATGGGTAATGTAATTTAAACCCTTATAATACAAGAAGCTGAACACTTTTTTTTTTCCCTACTGAAAGTCGACCCATTTTTTCCACAAATCTGGGTTATAAACTATAAACAGATGGCGTCTCTTCAGTGATCTGCTCTGTAAAAATGATTTTCATAAAATAATACAAAGAGCGTCTAAGATTTTTGGCTTTCAGCAGTAAATTGTAAGCATATAGCAGTATGTGTGATCATAAAACACATTTTCTCTTAATTTGAGAGGAGCTTTTACAAAAAATAAATAAACAAATAAAAATTTACATTTATTTCATGCAGTTACTGAACAATTTGCCTTACGATTTAGTCATGAAAATTCAGATGGAAAAACCAAAACATGCCCACGAGCATAAGAGATTAAGGAACACGGCTGAGGTAGGACAGTAACAGAAGAGGATATTCCGGAATAACAAAACATTTTCCAGGTAAATGCTCTAAAATCCAGATTTAGATCTTATAAAGGCTTGCAAGGCATTATGGAGAATTTACCAGGAACATCTAAAACTTAAACAATATTTTCTGTTTTTTTGGCAACTCTGTTAAGAAGTGCCACGTTCCGTCTATTGTGTTCCGCTCAATCCAGACTTAGCAGGGAAATCTACACTTGTAATGAAAGGAGTGAAAGCCTTACTCATTGGAGTGTGCAGCGCCACATGCTCCTGATAGGGGTTGAAATATTTGTATTGTTTTCCACAGAATTCACACGTGTAGCTCCCCGTTTCTGCAGAAGACAGCAACACATACTTTAAGCATTTCTACCATTTCAACCATAACACTCTACATGCTCTGCTGCGCCAGGGACGGCGATGCCCACAGATAACAGTGAACGTTATTTACAAACACCTGAAAAGTTTTGCAATGCTGAAAACGCTGAAGGCTGCAAATAAGCCTCAAATAACTCACACAGGGGCAGATTTATTAAAAGAGGCGCTAATTACTGACAGTCTGCAGACACTTTGTGCCGGGGGGCGGTGGGGTGGGGGCAGCCAATTTAGCATGTACCTGCTAAGAACCTTTCTGGAAATTAACACAGGCCCAAATTCATTATGAACATATGACCAATGGAACATAAAGTCCTGTTCTGCTCTCGTCCTTTTGGTATTGAAGCCTGATTTGGCCAAAAAAACGTTCACTCATAATAGCTTTTTTCTCTCCATTTCTGGCAGCAGTGTGTCCATACTGTGACTTTATCACAAAACAATGATTTTTCAGTGATATTTAATCTTAGTGTGTTAAAATAATGACTCATTTTGTTATGATTTTGATGTAATATGTTAAAATAATGTTACCACTACTTGAGCCAGTATAATTATTTAGAAATTTAGTCATTATTTTGTGAAAACAAGTTATATTTTGACATTCTAAGTTCGTTTCATCATATTGATTTAAAATTTGGTGACGACATACAGAAGGCCAACATTTCGTCTATGGTGGACGGGCATCTCTGAGCAACAACACTGGCAGTGTGATAGCACCAATCAGACAAGCTTTTCAGGGCCGCACACTTAATATATACTTCATAAACAGGAGGAAGCGCTTTATTGCAATGATTTTCTAACAGTGTTTCTGCTTTAGGAGGGAAATGCCAATGAGTGCATATACATACGCAAAACAGCAGCAATCGCCACTTTGGCCTTACTGTGGGTGCTACAGTCCCATGTGTTGAATGTATTAAACCACCACAGTTTTCATTGAAACACCAAAATATGGTTTGTTATGGCACCAAATGTCAGTGAATCTGCCCCTGAATGTTTTACTGTGAACATCATATCCAAATCTGAAGACACTGCAGGTGAGTGTTTTGTGTGTTTTGATGGACCACATGTCTGCCTTGACTAATCAAATGTTAAAATATTGCAGGCCAATCAATAAAGAGCTCATACATGTTTATCAGAGGTCCTCTTACAACATTTGTGTCCTTTTACGTATTAAAAACTGTCCTGATTCATTTTGACCTTTTTGCAGCCTCTCTTTACTCCTTAGAATTGAACAGGCTGCCTTTGTTACGGTGCCTTTATAACTGATACGTCGCTGCTGTCGGAAGAAAACCTCCTATCTCCATTTTTTTCATTTTTCAGTTTTTGGCATAATTTGAAAATACCTATTGCTCTTTATACTGTGTGTAAATTTCATGATGAATGGACCGAAAGAAACAACCCAAAATGACTTGGAAAAAAGTCTGGTTCCATTGACTCCCATTAAAAGTAAAGTAGGTTTTTTTCCTTTTCCTGTAAAGTTACCATTTTAGAGACACAAGGTTGTCTTCCGACAACAATGATATGTAAATGAGCTCTGTTGTGATTGGCTGCCCTGCATTACACCCTGTTTAAAAAGCAGTCTCGGCTAAAACGCTCCTTGGCTGCGTCCAGAAACTTATGCTACTGCTCATTCCACCTCCTCCCTTCCTACGGAGGAATCGAGGAGAGGAGGAGGAGGAATGGAGAGAATGAGCAGGAACTGGGGAAATGGGACAGCTGACTCCTTTCAACATTATGGAATTTGACGTCGACCACTGATTAAATGAGCTTATCACAATGTTCACTTGAAAGCACACGCTGAGCTGCTGCACCGACTCGCCTGTTCACGTTTGTGTGGTTTCTACTGCATGTTTTAATGGAGTACAAAATACACAATACAGATAATTACATAAACCTGGAGGAAACAGCAGTTTAAAGAATAGCTGGATTGCTCTGTGATTGTCCGTCTTCTCTGGACGTGCCTGCAGTCATGTCACTATTCTAGGGTTTCAATCACGTGACGTTTCTGTCATGGCCGCCATATTTGGGACCAAATTTCCGGCTTCGCTGCTCCGCATGAATGTAACTACAGGTGAAAGATGGCTAAAATTACTCTCCTTACTTTGCAAGAGAAAAACGTGACCTCAACAAAGTCGACAAAATAGTCTGAGACTCTTATACAGTTTCCTCCTGAACTCCTGATCCCACTTAAACTGGTGGAAAGCTACCAATTTTGTGTTTTCCTGACATTCATATTTATCTCATACTCAGCCCCTCTCCCTGTTCTGGAGGGTCTCTTACAGCATTTCAAAGCACAGAAGCCCACCGGCTCTTCACGTCAGGGTGGGTAAAGGATCCCATGGTGTTGCATAAAGAGGAAAATAGGATCATAAGAGGGTAACGACATCAGCTAATTAACACAGATGAGATCAATGCTCGCCTTTAGATAACTTTAGCTGATGTTATCAGCCGAGAGATGAACAGTCGTCCCCCTAACGGAGCTGCAGACCGCCGGTATAACTTTACTCTCTGTTTCTGATTTAAATGAGGTTTGAATGGAGAAACAAACATTAAATATCAGACTGAATTTCGTGGGCCGGAAAACGACGTTGTGTTTCGACAGACGTGATTCTGTAAGTTTGCTGGTGCAGTTAGTTCAGAGTTCAGCTCCAGTCCTGCAACCCCTCCACTGCATAACTGTGGTTTCCTGGTTAAAATACCTGATATTATTAGCTGAACGAGGTGTGAACAGCAGAGAGGAACACTAAACTGTACAGTGCAGGGGCTCCAAGCCTGGAGCGAAAACACTGAAGATCGTCGTTTTCGGCTTCAGTAGCTTCTTGCAGGCGAATTATTCACAAAGCACATCATGCTAGCGGAGTCACTCAAAATGGCGGGACTATATAGTGTGACGTCACGTGAAACGTGAGAATAAAATCTGTAAAACACTTCCTGGGCAGCATATATTGGTGGATCCTCTGCTTAAAGCGGCTCCTCCGGTACAAGCAGTAACTTGCAGGGTTTCTGGACGCAGCCCTTATAACCTCAACGCGGAGGGCGGAGCTAAACTGCTATAGGCTGAATAGCTGGATATATGCAAATGCACTGGCTTTCATGACATCATAAAAACAGTCAATGCAAATTCAATTCAGCTTAGTGTCCATCTCTGGACTGTTTGGACTGGAGAGCAAAACACTACATATCAAAAACTTAAGAGATCATATGTAAACATTTATTTCCATGATAAAGGCCATTTAATCATCACCACATCAAGGATTCACCAATGTGTTTAATATATTTACAACATATTACATTAGTTACAATACATTACAATTACAATACATTACATTACAATACAATACATTAGATTTATCAAACAACACGCAGCAGTATAATCACAATGCATGTTGTGCTGCCCTACTACACATCTTATAATTAGCATCATCTCCCACACTTTTACTTACTTGGTCCTATTTTCTGAAGCGGCTCAATCTCCTCCTTCACGGGTTCCTCCACAGGAATCACATGATCATAAGGATCTAGAGAGAAGGACAGAAAGCAAAGGAACGGGTGATGAACGGAGGTCAGATGTCAATCAGCATCTCAGCATGTGAAGGCTTTTTGGAAAAATCTTGTCCTCATCAAAGCTTTTTTTCCCCATTTATTACAGGCAACTAAACAACAAAAAGGACTTTCAGACATACTGTGGGGTCCGAATGTCTGAGAATCTGGGATTTTTCCATTTAAACTTTTTTTTTTCTAAAAGTTTCAGAGTTTTGAAAAAAATAAAAATGAAAAGGAAATACTCAAAATTCTGGCCTGTTGCCAGGTCACTATTCAAATTTATGCAAACTTGTGACATTGACCACGTTAAGGCCTTTGAAGAAGAAGGGATTCCACAGACGACTTTCAGGTGGACTTGATCTGCTCATCAGAGGCTTCTGCATGCATTACCATTAAAGCAAAAGGAGGGCGTTCAGCCAAATACCAAGAACTTCTAAAATTGTACTTTCACTCAAATTATTAGACTGCTAATATAATTTGCAATGAAAAAAAGTTTGTATTAAATTAGAAATTAATGCAAAACATGTGCGCTCAGACTTTTGGACCCCACTACTTATCACTGCCTGTCTATGCTAGAATGTCACTGAGTGCAATTCCAACCTCAATGTTGACTGAACTGGGCTGATGCCAGATCAGTTTAAATAACTGGCACGTAATATCAAAGTCTTATCAAAGTCTTATCTAACCCTATAACATTTTTAATTTTTTTTTTGTGCTCCTAGTTCAGCAAATAATCTAGAAAAGTCTACAACAGTCACTTTGACTCACTTTACAGGAAGGTTTTGGTCAAACACAGTGTGGAACACTGAAGTACACTGGCTCTTTCTCCACTCCGGTCAAAGAAAGGAGAGTTTTATTATCTATATTAACTATATTAAGGAACACTGACGTAAGACCCAGTCCGGTATCCATAACGACTAGTTAAGAAAGAAATAAACGGCGAAACAAAACATTCAGAAATACTTGAACAGTGTTGTGAAATTTGGCCATTTTTGTTCTGCGCTCACACAAAAATACTAGGCTGGTCCTTAAAGAAAAGACTGAGCCATGAAGCCTTAAAGAGAAACTACAGCAGTGTTTTCTTTCTAAACAGGTTAATTTTGGTCTTGTGGCCTCATTACATACACATACGTGTCCTGGAAATAATGTTCCACTGACCACTAAATGCAGATGTCTAGGCGGTCCTAATCTTGGGTCAGTATCCTCACCAATCACAAGGCTGATCGGGTTGACCCGCCCACACAGCTTTAACAAAACTGTGATCAACCACACCCCAAAGCGAGATGCGACTGTGTCAGACACTTATGAGAAAGCCAACATCCAAGCAAAAGCTAACCTGCTAACCCAGCAAACATAACTATGCTATGAAGCTCAGCTAGCTCATCTGTCTGCTGTCTGTAGCATGCCTGTTGGAATATTAGACCACGCCCAGACAGTTATTGGTAATGATCAGCAATTTATAAGCCACGTTTTATTATATTTCTATCTTATTATTTTTTTATTCAAACTTTGCTTGATGTTTTATACAACATACAACTTGTTACATACAAACTTTATACATATACATACATACATATATATACATACATATACATACATGTGCGCGCACGCACACACACACACACACACACACACACACACACACACACACACACACACACATATTTTGTCATATTTGCGTAAAGCATGCCGGGTATTATAGGTGAGAACATTCATGGGTGTGGACTGTCAAACTGATCAGGCTGAGGGATCTAAAGCTGCTCCACAGAGTCCTGCACAACATGAATAATAGCATTAGATGGTAGTTTCAGGCTGGAATGTCCCTTTAAAGCTTCAAGGGTATACAGCTCAATATGATCCAACACCGCAACTATTTATATACTGAGGACTCTCAGAGTTTCCTCTTTATGCTTTCTACTCCTACTGCACTGCATGCACTACTGTCATGATTAAGACATCGAGAGCAATCACTCCTATGCTGTTGTAGCTCAGTATAGATGGTCCAGTACAGATGTACACAAGTGCAATAAAACACAGCCTATTAAAATACATATACACACACAGACACAGTTCAAAGTCTGGACACACCCAGCCGTAGAAGAGGCTACTCATACAGTCTCATACAAAGCTATGAAATAACATACAGTGCTGTGATAAGTTTAAAACACCCTTCATTTATTTAAGTTCCAGTCAAAACAGTAATTAAGTACCACTCATTTTTCAGTGTCAGGAAATAATTAAACCATCTAACAGGAAATTAAGTAACTGAATTTAATTAATAAACTTTAAACTAAATGTATACATTTTTCACGACTCAGTGTGTCCACTAACCGCCTTCACCAGACTTTCTATTCTAGTTGGGAGACTCGCTTTGAGTTTTTCAAAGAAATCTGCAATGTTATTTTTCCCACACCTTCAAAGTCTTCAGCTACGTTCACATTACAAGCCTCATTGCTCAAATCCGATTTTCTGCTCAAATCCGATCTCTCTGACACGATGGATCACACTTGTTTAGTTAAGTGACTCAAATCGGTCATTAATGTGACGAACCGGTGACCTTAAATGACCCTCATGAGCTCATCCTACTCAGTAACGTCACGTGAATGAATCACTGCATCATCAACACAAACTAACGAGCAGAACGAGCTTCGCTGAGAAGATAATTAACTCTGATCAGCTCTCAGCTTCATTATTAGAGCGAGACGAAGGAGAAAAAGGTGAGATGTGCTGCTTTTCCACCGTTTACAGGCTTTAACGTCTGTTCGGCGCTGCTGCGCAGTGAAAAGACATGAATTCTGATCTGAGTGTTCACATTAAGGTTGCATGGCCACGAATCGGATACGTATCCGATCTAGGATCACATACGAAAGTGGCTCAGGTCGGATTTGAAAAGATCAGATGTGGGTGTCCACACAGCTCTGAAAACATCAGATCTGAGTCACATTAGGGCAAAAAATCAGATTTGTGCCACTTCAGCCTGGTAATGTGAACGTAGCCTTAGAAGCTGGATATCAAACACATTCAGTGGTGTTGAGGTCTGGACTCTGGGGTGGTCAGTCCATTGTTCAGCTTCTTTGTTTGATGTGTCCGTCTCCTTTTCTCAGTGAGGTTCTTCTTGAACAGCTACACATCCTTTCAGACCCACACCGCTGAGTCGTCTTCTCACAGTGGACAGATGGACAGAAACACCTGTGGATGTTTTCAGATCTGAAGCAGCTTGATTTTCTCCTCTCTCTCAGAGATGAGAGCTTTAAGTGCTGTTTATCTGATGGGGACAGTTTTGGTGTCTACCAGGTCTTCCATGTAAGGTGGTAGAAGCTCCACTTTCTCTGTATCAATCATTTTTTGAACTCTAGTTTTGGAAACTCCTGTTTTTTTCCACTTATTTTCCTTTGACTTTCTCCATTCTTTATGCAAGTGGATTATTTCTAATCTTCTCAGAAATATCTAAAAATAAACAACTTGTACTTAACGGTGTTTTGACTGGAAATGAAACCAATGAAAGCTCTGATTTTGCACAGTAATGCATGTGGAACTGCACAGTGACAAAAAGTGTTAAACCAAAACTTTTTCCCAATCTTAGAGTCTTCAAAGTAGCCCCACTTGGCCCTGATGCAGCTTTACACACTCGTTCACTCAAACAGCTTCAAGTGAAGCCACCTGAGATGCTTCTCCTTCAGGACTGAATAAGATTGAGCATTTGCTGGCTGGTAAAACTACATTTTGAAGGGGGAGGAATGAGAACTGAAGCATGTGCAGGATTTGGCCCAGCAGTCTGAGAGTTCATACCATGTTATAGAGGAGATGAAGACATGTGGGCACATAACTCACCGTCCACGGCGTGCAGGTCCCTGTGTTCTTGGAAGCAGCTGTAGTACTTGTACTTTTTCCCACATATGTCACATGTGTAGCGGAAAGAGTCTGGATTCAAACAGAGACAGTACTGAGTGAGTTCACGTGGCTTCGAGCGGCATCACATTCAAGCTTCCTAAATCATCCTGAAAGTAGCATCGAGTGCTAAAACGATCTTTGACAAAAGTTTTCCCAATGATCAGCTCGGAGTATTAAACCAGATATTTTTAACCCCTTTTAACTGTCGACACAGAATGCAATTTCAGCCCTCGGTTCAGCCTTGAATATTTTTTTTTAATTAAATTTTGATTTTAAAATAGATTTTAAATTATTTTAATCAGATTTTGAATTTAATTCTATTAATAAAAATATCTAATGAGCCACTTTCCATTCAGCTGGTGGGACTGCCGCTAGGAGGACTGCAAAAAGGGGTTAATCCAATTTATCCTAAAATAGATGTGCTGCATGCAGGATTAGCATAAAGCCAACACAACAGCCAATCAGGATGCACGTTCCTGTCTTGCTTGGAGGAACTGCACTGCAGACAAGAAGCTGTACAGGAAATTGGCAAGAGAAGACAAGCCTAAGCAAGGAAGTGGCTGACAAAATGAACATTTTAAAATAAACATGAAAAAAAAAGAAAAAAAAGAGAAATGTACATAAATAAAATAAAAATAATATAAAATATAATCTATTTAACAATATATTTATTCGCAATATTATTAGTTTGTGTTTTTGATAAAATGATACCGTTCCTTAGTGTAACAAAAAAATACAAGTAGGCTTATAATTATTAATAATTAAAAATGATGAATAAAATGTTATGTCCATGCTACAATTATTAATTTTAAGCCTGAACAGTTTCTGTATGGTTTCATACACATTTTATCAACATGACGAACATAACTAGAAGTTATTAAAAAATCTAAAAAAAAAATCTACATTTTGAGGACACGATTTCATTTGATAAAATAAATACGTCATTTTTTAACCTCTTTTTATTCCTCTTTTTGTTTAGACAGGTTTGAAGGTGTTGAATGTTGAGTGCTGAAGGCCCAGAAAAGGTTTAATATCATCCAAAATGTAGATTTTTTTATTTCAATTTCTTTAAAATTGATATTTAGGTTCATTATACAGGGAGATTCACTCGAAAGAGGCCCCGAATATTCTGTAATAAATCTCTAGGACGAAGCAATCTGAACGAAACAAATGTGCAAATGTGCTCCTCAGTATATGGAGCTTCGAACAAGCCAGGATGCCCCTGCGTCGGAGCGCTGTGGCAGGCGCCGAACAGCCATCGCGACGTTTAACCTCTCTAATGCTTGCCGGTACATTCAGGAACATAGAGAGCTGTGTCAAAATGTGTCTGGCAGAAAATAGAGATCACTTCCAGCATCGCATGTAATGCAATCGATTACACATACATCAAGGTATGTAACACATTTTTTTTGGTGCAGATTGATTCATCGTAACGGGATTTACAACAGAATATTCGGGGCCTCTTTCGAGCGAATCTTGCTGTATTAACAGCCGTTTAGTATATTACACCATATGATTCGCATGTTATTTTCATCAAGGTTCAAAACATTATTCAGGCTTAAAATCAAGCATAAAAATCATGCAAAATTATTGACAATATTTTTTGCTTTTTTTGGGTCCTATGGCCCAGGCCCACTTTAAATTAATTAAACTTTAACAACAGAAATGTACTTACTGTTCAGAAGGTGAGGTGTCCCCTCTCCGGCCGGCGTGCCCTCCGTCTCTGTACGGGACAGAAAAAGTGGAATTAGTCTTAACTTCAGGTTGTGAAATATCAGATTTATTAAAAAAAGGAAGCAGTAACAGACTGTGGCCTTCATTAATACAGAGACTGATGTGTACTGAATAAAGATGGAAGGATTTGAGGCAAAAGAACTGAGAGCCATCTGTTATTTCTGGCCAGACGTTTTGGATTAACAGTAAAACAAAAATCAAAAGATAAAAGTTAAGGGGAAGTGGTTCCAGATACTGCCACGCATGCTTAAGTCATGACAAGACACTTTGAGGAGGGTTTATCTTTGTGTGATCTGTCCATAAAACTTAGTTTCAGAACTTTTCTGGCTCATCGGCGCAACTTTCTTCCATGGTATCGCTGCCTTTCTGCTCTTCTTGAAGTCTTTATTCTGTATTAGAAGTTCTGTTTTCTGTAAACGGCAGACTGGCTCTGCACGCTGGACGCTGTTGGGGATTTTATATACAGCATGTTTTCTCTGGTCATGTTTCTATTATTACTTTCAATTCTTTTCCTTGGTTGACCATAACGTTACTCGTTGCAAAGTATACCCCGATCAGGTATAACATTATGACCACATCCTGTCCTTCAGTGGTCAGGACCCCCATGGACCCTCACAGAATAGGTACTATTTGGGTGGTGGATCATTCTCAGCACTGCAGTAACACTGACGTGGTGGTGGTGTGTTAGTGTGGGTTATGCTGGTCTGAGTGGATCAGACACAGCAGTGCTGCTGGAGTTTTTAAACACCTCAGTGTCGCTGCTGGACTGAGAATAGTCCACCAACCAAAAATAGCCAGCCAATAGCGTCCTGTGACCACTGATGAAGGACTAGAGGATGACCAACACAAACTGTGCAGCAGCAGATGAGCTATCGTCTCTGACTTTACATCTACAAGGTGGACCAACAAGGTAGGAGTGTCTAATAGAGTGGACAGTGAGTGGACACAGTGTTTAAAAACTGATCCACTCAGACCAGCACAACACACACTAACACACCACCACCACATCAGTGTTACTGCAGTGCTGAGAATGATCCACCACCCAAATAGTACCTGCTCTGTGAGGGTCCATGGGGGTCCTGACCACTGAAGAACAGGGTAAAAGAGGGCTAACAAAGTATGCAGAGAAACAGATGGACTACAGTCTGTAACTGTAGAACTACAAAGTGCACCTATATAGTAAGTGGAGCTGATAAAATGGACAATGAGTGTAGAAACAAGGACATAATGTTATGCCTGATCGGTGCAAATATCATTTTTCTCCCCTTTTCTATTTTTTTTTTCATTTTAAGTGACTGATTTATCCACGTCCAACTTCTCTGCTGTGGTTCTGACTGATCTTTTTAAACTGCTTAAGTCATACACACAACAGCAATAAAACCACTGACTCTGTGACCTCAAAAACAATGGCGGTAAATGTGAACCGGACAAAGCTTACTCGAAAATAATCCCCAAACAGCACTGCTGCTTTTTTAGGGAAGCAGCCCCTGAGGGGACGGTGCTTTAGAAAATGAGCTGCTTCTTGGAACAGCGCTTTATGTGGAAGTTCACTCTGACTGTACCTCTGTGGGCGCGGACGTGAGTCTGAAAGCAGTTGTAATACTTGTACTTCTTTCCGCATATTCCACAGATGTAGGAGCCTGTGTAGAAAAACAGAACAGCCTTCTGAAAAAACAGCAACACCACACTGCAATGAGCTGATACACGCCTGTTATCTGAATATATGGCTATTTGGAGTCATTCACAAAAGGCTTGTGGTCGTTTTTCAGTTTTTGTCGTAATTCGAAAATGCCTGTTGCCCTTTACGTTGTGTGTGAATTTCATGAAGAATGGACCAAAAGAAACGACCCAAAATGACTTGGAAAAACGTCTGGTTCCATTGACTTACATTAAAAGTAAAGCATGTTTTTTCCTTCTCCTGTAAAATGATCATTTTGGAGATACGAGGTTTTCTTCTGACAACAGCGATATGACTTATTTAATAAAAACAAAGAAAACAAAAACATACAGAAACACATTCTCATGCAGATTTATTACAGTTTTTAAACATTCATTTTTATTATTGCTTAGTTTTTCATTTTAGTTTAATTTTAGCTAGTTTTAAGTGTGCATTAATAGTTTGTCTTGACTTTATTTGTATGTAGGCTACAGTATGTGCTGTGAAATGAAAACGTCCGCAACAACAAAGTGGGGTTGGTAATTCAAGGCAACAAATTGGGTCATTTTTAGTCATTCGCTCCACTTTGGCACTGTTTTTTGTGATTTCATTTAAAAAAACCTGAGGCTACAGACGGCGTTCAGCGTATCCGCAGGAACTTTCCGTTCTGCTTCTGTCGTTTTGCTGTATTTTGCGTATCAAGTGAGATGTTTTTTTCCCCTCCAAGTGTTCTCAACCTTGTAGTGGAGAAGTGTTTGGTGTCTAACCTCCTCTGGATACGTGTAGTGAGTTAATATTACAACCGTCTCTAAACGTTCCTCACAGAAACTGTGAAACAGCTGCAAATGGTCAAAATTCTTACTGTTGATCTGATGCTGCTTAAACTGTTTGAACAGCATTTTAAATCACTATGATGAAGTTCATCATATGATGAACACGGTGATGAGACATTTTATAAGACCGTCATTTTTATTTTTTCAAACAGTTTTTTTAAAGCAGTTAAGGAGCGATTTTTTTTTTTTCACTACTTGTTTTAGTTAACTATAATAACCCTGGTCTCTGATGGCCGCAACTCAGCAGAGGCGTAAATAGAAATATTCTGACCAAAAAGAGGACAAATGAGTTATGGTTTTCTAGAATAATTGTTAGTAGTAGAAACCGAAAACTTCTCATGGTGTGTGTGAGTGTATATGGGGAACCAGCCTTGCTAAGATTGCCGGTTCGATCCCCTGAACCGACAGTACGTGACTGAGGTGCCCTTTAGCAAGGCACCTAACCCCCAACTGCTCCCCGGGCGCTGCGGATAGGGCTGCCCACCACTCCGGGCAAGTGTGCTCACTGCCAGTGTGTTTCACTGCATGGATGGCTTAGATTGTGGTGAAATTTCCCCATTGCGGGACTAATAAGGGTCACTTAATCTATGCATATTATATATATATATATATATACACACATACATACACCCACACGTACGTTTATTAGCTTTAGTAGCCTGTTTTTTCCCGAACAGCCTTTCAGTTTAAATGTTTATTTTATTTTTATATTCATGCACATAGTGAATGGTTTTTTAGTAATTTTATAACAATTTCATACGTATTTTGGTCAGATGTACACTATTTTAATAATAATTAATCACTTCATCGTCGTGATATCAACTTTTTTGAACACTGTATTTTTGGTCCATATTGCGCAGCCTTTGTGACTGTTGATATACGTCCTCATTGAGAGACACTATCCGTTTAAAAATATGGTTATTCGAAGAGTAAAACTCCTGTGCCTAGTTGTTCAGAGGACCCTCACCTTGTGCTTGGGAGTTGCGAGATCCGCCGATGACCACGCAGATTTCGGCCGGCAAGTTGGCCTCGGTGGCTTTGCCGTTGCTGGGTGGGCTGCTGGCCGTGGGACGAGGCTCCGCCTTGACCGAAGCGGCCGTGGCCTTTGGGGAGGTGGTGGGGGCCGTCTGAGTGGGGGTCGTCTCCGTAGGGACAGCGGCCCCGTCCCCTTGATCCCGGCTGGGGGTCGGGACCTCCTGATTGCTGCTCATCGCTCTGCTTCAGTTCAGCCACGACTACACAGGCTGCACACAGGGACAAACAGACCAATGCAGATTTGACACACTTGCTATGAGACCTAAAAAGCAGATAAGAAACAAACGCATGAGCTCAGCAGGGCTGTACAATATATGGCTTGTTACTCATTACTGGCCTTTGCAATACTAATATTGCAGAACACTGCAATACGCAAATGAGTTTACTGTGTGCTGTGACCATTCAGACTAATAATGCACTAAAATGAACAGAATTATCCAAACCACAAGTCTGGACACAAAAATTAAATCAAAAGCTAAAAAATATGACAACAATTTAGGGTTCTCATAAAATACACCTACTAAAATGGCTGTAGCACTTAGGCCAGGGGTCTTTAATTAAAATTCAATAAGGTCCAGTTAGAGAAAATATCCTCAAGCAAAAGTCCAGAACATCATAATGTCTAACTTGATTCAGTGCCATATACTGTTTAGTGAAGTAGCCTAGTAGTTATATCAACATCTTATACAGTCAACAACTGAATATCAAATCAAATAAAGTACAATTCAGTCATATTTCAAGATTTATTGTCAGTTTTCTCTTTTTAGATCACGTCATGTGAAATAACCTCCCTCTGACTCACTTTCTTCCCCGACTGCTGTTTCTCGCCTCGTCCCTCCCCTGTGTGTGCGTCACTCACTCGAGTCTCAGTGCTCATCGTAATGCACAGATCTGATTGGCTGAGTAGCATCACGTGTGATGTTTACAATGCATGCGCTTGGTCTGTGAGTCTCCCGGGCTGCTAAAGCCGTACAGTAAAGGCTAGAAAAGCTAGGCCGATTAAAACGGGACCACCCCATCAGAATTAAATAATTCTCCATAGTTTATCGGTTATAGGTCCAGGTTCGCATAGGACAGCATCTGGGTCTGGACTCGGACCGTGGTCCGCCTATTAGTGACCTCTGATGTAGGCTATAGCATGAGTCGCAAATCCAAATGTCCTCAACAACAGAAAACGGTTGATGATTCAAGGCAATGAATTCCACTGTTTTTTAGTTACTCTCTACACTGTCGTTTGTGATTCTTTTTCAGAGACTTTTTCTTTTTCAGGGACTTTTCTTTCTTTTTCTTTTGGTTGTTTCGCTGTATTTTACATATTGATTTGTTGGATGTTGGAATAAATACAAATGTCTTATCCACGTTTCTCACAGAAACTGAAGTGGTCGCACACGGCCAACATTTTCACTGTTGATCTGTTGCTGCTCGAACTGTTTGAACAGTGTTTTTGAATCACTATTTTTCATTTTTATTAAAATAATTATCAAAGTTTTCACTTCAACGGAGACCTCTTTTATTGTCAGTCAAAACTTGCAGCCATTTTTCTCTTTCGGGCGAAAACAGAGTGCCACTTCTGACCATTTTTGGCGCATCCCTAATCCTGACTACACAACATCACAGATGACCACGCCAAGTTCTTGTGGGTGACTGTTGGCATCAAGACATTATCCTTCCAAAAACACTGCAAGGTACGTTGTAACCCCAACAGGTAGTGACGTAAATCTCACTATGATATCTCATCCTTATCATGCAGCTCTAGTGCATCTCTCAATCTATAATGTAAAACGAAAAGACAGGTCTGTTCTGCCACAGCTACACAAGGCAATTACTGGCAAACACAAGACTCTCTATCGACACGTTGGCCGCAAGACCTAGAGAGAAAATAAATAAATAAAGAAACACATTTAATACACTGGAAGAAGATGAAGACGGGCTCTCTGAGCGCCACACTCATAAAGAGCAAGGCAGCTGTGCCAAGAGCAAATGACAAGAATCAGCAAGTATATTGTACCTTTTCTATGGCTGCATTCAGACATGCACTGAAGTCGACACCCAGGGCTACTGAACCAGCACAATGACACAATATAAACCAAATACAAAGCACTTTACAGTTACACTTAGTGTTTGGCAGGTTCTCTTCTCCAGAACAACTTACAGAAAGTGCTTTGCTGTCTATTTGAAAAACCCATCTATATCGTCCAAGTTGTATCCGAACCTTGTAACCTCTTTATTTGTTTACTTATTCACTCTCTTTGAAACGCTAGCTGCCTTTCAGACTACGTGGGGATACGGTGCACTGAAGTCCTTCTCCTTGTACCATTTTGGAGATGCACGGCTTTTCTTGTTGTTTCAGAGACGATATGCTACTGCAAAAAGGGCAGAGTCTAAGGCTGCGTTCACATTACCAGGCTGAAGTGGCACAAATCAGATTTTTTGCCCTAATGTGACTCAGATCTGATGTTTTCAGAGCTGTGTGGAAACGCAAATCTGATCTTTTCAAATCTGACCTGAGCCACTTTCATATGTGGTCCTATATTGGATATGAATCCGATTCATGGCCACGCGACCTTAATCTGACGCTCAGATCGGAATTCATGTGCTTTTTTCAGATCTGATTTGAAAAAATCTGATCTTTTCAAATTCGACCTGAGCCACTTTCACGGATACATAACCTAGATCGGTTATGTATCCGAATCGTGGCCATGCTGCCTTAATCTACGTTCACATTACAAGCCTCATTGCTTAAATCCGATCTCTCTGACACGATGGTTCACATTCGTTTAGGTAAGCGATTCAAATCTGTCATTAATGTGACGAACCGGCGTCCTGAAATGACCCTCATGCGCTCATCCTACTCAGTAACGTCACGTGAATGAATCACGATCATCATCAGCACAAACTAACGAGCAGAACGAGCTTCGCTGAGAAGATAATTAACTCTGATCAGCTCTCAGCTTCATTATTAGAGCGAGACGAAGGAGAAAAAGGTGAGATGAGCTGCTTTTCCACCATTTACAGGCTTTAACTTCTGTTCAGCGCTGTTGCCATGGTAACGCTGAATGATGGTCACGCGCAGTGGGAAAAAAGCACGAATTCCGTTCTGAGCGTCACATTAAGGTCGCATGGCCACGAATCGGATACGTATCTGATCTAGAACCACAAAATCAAAGTGACTCAGGTCGGAATTGAAAAGAGCAGATTTGTGTGTCCACACAGCCCTGAAAACATCAGATCTGAGTCACGTTAAAATCAGACTTGTGCCACTTCAGCCTGGTAAAGTGAACGTAACCTTAATGCCTTAAATTGGATTTGAGCAATGAGGCTTGTAACGTGAACGCAGCCTATAGACGCATTGTGATTAGTATGACTTCCTTGCTGTCTTCAATGTTGTGTTTCCAAAGTTGTTTATACTTGCACAGCAAATGTTTGCTTATGCTAACTAATGCACAGAGTTTAACATAAAGGGCTCTGGTTAAAGCAAAATAATCTGTATAGATACTGGTTTAACAAACATTCACTGTGGCAAGACTACAATCAAACTAAAATTCGATATTTAACTAATCAGTGCTGCACTGATACCGTATTGTTATAGTAATGTTGATTTGGTGTAAGAACAGCCTTTAGCCTTGATTCAGCCTTTAGAATAGCAGCCCATTAAGTGGGCTACTAGCCCCGCCTGCGGTGAGCCTCCGCTGGTCAGTTGCATCGTGCGCGATGGGGTCTCGCGGCCTGTTGCTTCAATCAAGCTGGAAAAACCTATGAAAGTCGCAGCTACTGAGTGTGAATGACTAACATTTACTGAACTCCAGCGGAGTCTGACGCTCGGAGAGGCAAGTGTGAATAAACAGGATGCACATATGAGGCAAAATGACTTCAGAAATTTGGATGTGAAATAACATTTAGCACAATTTATTGTCGTTCTAGAGAAGCTGCAGGGTGACTACATGAACGCGCCACAGGTTTAATGTGTATATTGTTCATCTCTGTTTTTAACTATTTTGCACAATACAAACATTTTAACATGAAATAAGATGTTATGATTCTTATTACTAACTATATTAGGGTAAATACTATTTATATAGAGTTAAGAAACAAAAGGTTTTTGTAAGCATCTAATATATATGATCCAGCAAGTAAATGCCAAGTTGAGTATGTTTTATTTGTGACACAGATTTTAAAAAATGTGAATGCATATATATTAGTAGGTTTAGTAAAATAAAGATGGGTTGGGCTGAATTGTTATCTAAACTGCACGAACACATTATACCTGTTTTTTTTTGCTAGTGCACCAACACTCAAAGACTTGCTCGACCGAAGAGAAAAGAAAACCAGCAAGATGGCTGCACAAGCGGCCGAAGAAACCCACAATTTGAGTATTTTCGCTGTTAAAAAAATTAAACAACCATTGTATTATTAATTTAACCTCTTGTTGTCCAGGGTATATTTTTCAAATCGTAAGGCAAATTATTCAGTAACTGCATGAAATAAATGCAAATATTTATTTTATTTTTTTTTACAAAAGCTCCCCTCAAATTAACAGAATGTGTTTTATGATCACACATATTTCTATATGCTTACAATTTACTGCTGAAAGCCAAAAATCTTAGACGCTCTTTGTATTTTCTTATAAAAATAATGTTTACACAGCAGATCCCTGAAGAGATGCCATCCGTTTATAGTTCAGCTTCTTTTATTATAAGGGTTTCAAATTACATCACCCATCTATTTGACTGGAAGGAAGACAGTTACAGCTCTCATACGACCCCCACCTTTTGAATGCAGCTTATGAAATATGAAAGTTGAAGATTATGACGAAGTGCATTTTGGAACCACCGGTGGTCTCAAGGAGTTTAAGAGGTTAATTAATAATTATTGTTTCAATTAATTAATTTTATATCGTTTCAATGTATTATGCTCCTTTTCTAAATAAGAAGCATTAAAAATAGATTAATAGCTAAGTAATATCTTTAGTAGTATGCTAATATCTCAGTAGCTAGCTACCTAAATTTCCCGTTTCACCTTAAATAGTCAGTCCTGACGCCTGAAACGGCAGAATGTAACTGCTGCTCCATTTAAGGTGGAACAGAAAACTTGAACGGGACGCTGGCGAAAAGTTGACTTCAGCTTCAGACCACTGAAGAACTGGTGGTGGGTGATAATAAAATTATGGGATTTTTGCCAACGTACTTTAAAGCTTATTCGCCAACTTGACAACAGCTTCAAAAGAATGGATTTTGGAAAGTACAGATTCTACACTTTCAATCC